TTGATTTTAGTAATCAAAGCTGTATTTTTGTTTGTGTTTGGGCTAACTTCGGTATCATTTGACATTAGAGTTAGCTTAACCCTAATTTTATTCTAAGGTTACTAAAATTCCCCATTGCCTAATCCAAAATTTTTCTTTCCTATCACAGCCATACACTCTATCCCACCTATGCACGCACAAACCCCAATAATGCCACTAAGGAGAAGTGACGTATGCCAATCAGGAGTTTACTATGTAAAAGATGCAACGATAACTCTGTTGAGTGCTACAACGACTCGATGAAATTTAAGACAGAACCTAGGGAGGTCACTGTCGACTGTTATAGTGAGATCCGAGGATGAAAGCGAGAAGAGCATCGGGATCCTTTTCATAGGGATGATTCCAATGAAGATGAGAATCAACCATGACACTTCGAGACTTGATATCAGAGGAGGTTGATAGAGGAAGTGCTTGTTGGAGGATACAAAGGTTTAGGAATGACAGTGGATATACCGAATTTCAATGGAAAATGAATGTGGATGACTTTGTTGAGTGGTTACAGATCATCGCGAATATATTTGAATATAAAGAGTTGTCAGATGATAGGAGAGCGAAGTTCACTGCTATCAAATTGGCGCCTTGTTGTGGTGGGAGAATCTGAAGATGGAGAGACAGAGTGAAGGACAAGATTAGACCACTATCTATGAGAAAATGAAGAAGGCGATGCAACGACAATATCTATGCTCACATTACCTTTAGGACAATTTCTTTATCCCCAACACATGCAATCAAGGGAATTATCAGTGGAGGAGTACACAGTGGAATTTATGTAGCTTAAGCTGAAATGTGAGCTAATAGAGATATGAGAAAATGACAATCATGTACTTGGGAGGCCTGAAATGTGGTCCAGCTGCAATCTTATTGGACGCTGAGTAACCTTTAAACATTGGCATTGAATGTGGCGAGATAGCAGAAGCAGAGTAGACACCCACTGCCCATCAGACAACCACCACAGTTGGAGACGTCAGTAGAAGCACGCCTAAGGAAGTTGAGAAGGCTGGCTAGGAGATTGACAGAGCTGCCCTGCCCAGAATGAGAAAAAGTCTGAGAAGAGTAGCACCCCCATTATAGTTCCAGTTAGGAAATGCTTCAGATGCCACAAATATGGGCACATCTAGGGTGCAAGTGAGTCAAGTCGACTCGTGAGCCGGCTTGAGCTCGGCTCAATAAGTGGCTCGTAAGCTGAGCTCGATAAGCTAACAAGCCAAGCTCAAGCCAGCTCCGACTTGACTCGTTAGCTCGTGAGTTGGCTCGTTTTAAAAAAAATATTAACATAAAATATACTCAAAATATATTAAATTTCAAAACTTTATCTTTAAGCTACTAAAAATGCTTAAAAAATAATACTTTTATTGTATATTTGGTGATTTTTTATTTTGTCTCTTAATTGTTCGTTCTTTTTGTGAATTTATTATAAAGCTACCTTAAATTAATATCATTTTCTCCTATTATATTGAACAAGCCGGCTCACGAGTCGGCTCGAACTTGTAGACTTAAGCTCGAGCTCGATAAAATTTGTCAAGCTCAAGCCCAAGAAAAGGGTTGCTTGAGCTCGACTCGACTTGTTTACACCCCTAGACACATCGCTTTCAGCTACGCGACAAGTAGAGATGTGTTTCGCCAAGCAGTGTGCAGTAGAGGAGATGAGCGAGGAGATAGCTGAAGAGCAGGATGTGGAGTACCGACTTCCACCATATGAGGGAGAGATGCTTGTGGCTTGATGAGTCCTTTAGACTTAGGCTAATGGGAATTAATAGTGACTTCAACACAAAATATTCTATACTTGTTGCATTGTGGAGGAAATGCATGCAACCTCATCATCGATGGAGGTAGAAACAAGAATGTGACTTTTACATAGATAGTAGACAGGTTGAACCTCACGAATCAGAAGCATTCTTAGTCGCATTCCCTAACGTCATTGAAGAAGAAGAATAAAGTCAACATTGAAAGGAGATGCCTCATAGAGTTTTCCAGTGGAAATCAATTACAGGATCAGATGTGGATAATGTGTTGCGCATGGATGCATGTCACATTACTCTTGAGGAGACCATTGGCAGTTTTATCGCCCAAACTCAGCATGATGGATCCAAGAACAACTGCTCATTCACCAAGAATGAAAAGTCATAGTTTTCCTACCTTTTGCAAAGTTCGAGATTATTAGTGCTCTTGCTAGCGTAGAAGCATCGGGGGGATTGGTTTTGGTGGTGATAGAATATAACAGGATTGAGAGCCAATTCTAGAGATAGAACAATCACTACAGAGAGCATTTCAATTTATTATGATAGATACCCTATCGCATTTGTTGCTACTGTTGGAGGGAGTTTAGTTAGTCCTTTCGCTAGATAGGGATCAGCAAACCTTGGTCTACTTTTGGAAGACCCTATAGAGTATACTAGACACAAAGGTGCAGTTAAGTTTACTAATGTAACATCGGATGATTGGACTGATATGGATGGCTATTTGCAAGTGGGTAAAACTTCTCATATGTTTTGGGCATCAATGCAGTGGACAGTAGGATCGATGTGCTTCTAGGGCTGCAGTCGAAGTTCTTTCAGCTATGGAAATTTACACCAGCTCCGCTACCCTCAATTTGCATGATTTGATTCCATACTATTGGGAGACAGAAGCTTCGACGAATGAGGTCGAAGCTCCTCCAACCCCGGAGACTGACACGGGTGTATTGGTGTGGGAAATCCCTCAAATGAAAAGCAGTGCCCTACTACTTGCCCGGACCGGTTCGGTCCAACCCTTTCTTTCTTCTGAGCACTCGACCGGTCCTCTTAGGCTACTCCTAATTATCCTATTACTATATATTTGCTTTTTGTTTTAGGTTTTTCTTTTTTGGTGTATTTTATGTCGGAACAGCCGTCGATGTCTCCAAGTTTTCCCTTTAAGAATTGTATTTAAGGGCGAGTGGTGCTTCAACTGTATCTCGTTATGTGGTGATGATTATCCTCGACTTTCCCATCTTCCACAACTTTCTCTTTACTGTCGCCTTCACAGTAACTATTGCAGTCGTCCTAAGGATGTCGGCATCTTGGTTGTCTCTTGTAGCCCTCATACCTTCCTCCAACAATCCTCAGCTGCCCATCATCCAACGTCCCTGTCGTAAGCCTTCCTTGCTATTTACATCCATCCCACTGCAACCACTACTTACACTTGCAGTCATGCACAACTCTTTTTCTTTTCCCATAGTCCATCTACATAACTCTTTCTCCTCCGGTCCAGTCGCCTGCAGCTAGCCACTCCTACCACCATTTGTTACAAGTCACACCCCCACCCCCTGCCCCATCCCCTCTTGCAGCCCAACAACAACCCCGCAACTCCCTCCCTATTGCTTTCAATTCATTCAACTAATCACTAGTTTGCTGCCCTTTGATCATGCAGTCCTCTATACCATTTGTCTTTTGTTATTTTCTATTTATGAGTGCTTGGTTATAATTTTTATTTGACTTCACTAGTAAAATTTGCATTTCTCGTTCGTGTTTGGGTGACTCCAGTATTACTAAGGGTCTAAAAATGACAGATAAGTTGATTGCCCATGGGGTTACTATGGATATTAGATGCCAAGTGTGTTACCTAATTTTGGAATCTCACTTGCACGTATTTTTTTATTGTCTGTACCTTTCTTTGTGTTTGTAGAAAGAGGAAATGAGAGGTTTTTCTTCTTTATTTAACCCTCTTAATTTAGTTTTGGAAGCCAACAATAATTTTCATCGTCCTGTTAAAAGGTGTAGTTACATCTTGATTTTCTTTTCCTTGATTTATACTAGTATGGACAACGAGGAAAAAAAGTGTTTTTTCATCTTTTCTTCCATCCAAAAAATCAGAGAAAGCCGTCTTGGATGGTTTGGTCACATTAAACGTCGACCATCTGATGATCTGATTAGGAGAGTAGATGTTTTAGATTCGACTTATGTTAAGAATGGCAGAGGTAGACCTAGGAAGGCTTGGGCTTATCGTATAAAAAATGAACTTAATTTATTAGAACTAAATGAAAATATGACACTAAGTAGGACACAATGGAGAAAAAGGATTATGTAGCCGACCCCACGTAGTGGGATACCCCACGTAGTGGGGATAAAGGCTTTGTTGCTGTTGTTGTAGTTCTTTCATCCAAAAAGGTGGTTGTGGAGCATGTGAAAATTGTGGCGGCATATAAACCTAAGGTTGAAACTCAAAGATAATTGGCCTAACAATGTTAAAATATGTTTCTTCTTTGGAAGAATTTTTTTTTTCTAGGCTGTATAAATGATCTTTTTTTTATATAGGCATGACTTGGATGTTTTTTCTTTGTGGTTTATTTTGGTGCTGGTTAGATGAGACTTTTTGGGGGTGAGTACACTTTCATTGATGAGTCGGCTTCATCCTATTGCTGAGTTGTACTTTCTTTTCTTTTAGCTAGGTGCTTCTGCTTTTTTGCATCACCAACTTCTTCTCATCTTTTGTTTCCATGGATCGTTGTTTTGGCTCTCTTATTTTTGTTGTAATTTTTCGGAGTTTAGGCTATGATGTGGCGTACTTGCACAACCAGATAACTTAATTTGTCTCAATCTATTTATCAACTATGCTTTCTATTGCTGTTGGATGGTGTTATCATGATGGCTTTCTCTTATCTGAGCCTACTCTCGATCTTGATGGGTAATTTCTGTAGAGATTGGTTTTTCTCTCTCCTTGCCTTTTGTTTGTTTTTGAGCTGCATCTTTTTGCTTTGTATGTAGCTCCTTTTCGGACATAGTTGTAGTTGTTCTTGTTATTATCTGTGTTAACATATTTGTTTAAAGTATTTATGTTTTATGGTGAGATGTTTTTTAGGCTGAAGAGGTTCTCGTATCTTTGCTTGAAAGGCTTGAATAAACCTTCAAGTTATTTTGTTTACCTTTCTTAATTTTTTTTTGGCAATGTTGAAGTTTAAAAAGACAATTCGTTAGATTTTGAGCTAAAGCTCAATGTTTCTACAGATCTAGAAAAGGTTACTGGTTCATTATAAAACAGAAGTAAAGATGTCGTCTTCTGAGTCTTCTCGTGAGGATAATGTTTATATGGCAAAGCTTGCAGAGCAAGCTGAGCGATATGAGGAAATGGTTGAGTTCATGGAGAAGGTGGCCAAGACGGGAAGTGTGAATGAGCTGTCCGTGGAGGAGCGCAACCTCCTCTCTGTGGCCTATAAAAATGTTATCGGAGCTAGACGAGCCTCGTGGAGGATAATATCTTCCATTGAGCAGAAAGAGGAAGGCCGTGGCAATGAGGATCGTGTGACCATTATCAAGGATTATCGCGGCAAAATTGAGACCGAGCTCAGCAAGATCTGCGATGGAATCTTGAAACTACTTGATTCTCATCTGATTCCCTCTGCTAGTGCTGCTGAGTCAAAGGTTTTCTACCTAAAGATGAAGGGTGATTACCACAGGTTCTCTGGAATTACTCATTTGGAAATAGAAATAAATGGATAAACTTCATATCATTATTTTTTCAAGTGAATTTTATTTCACAGGTATCTTGCTGAGTTTAAAACTGGAGCAGAGAGGAAGGAGGCTGCTGAGAGCACACTACTGGCGTACAAATCAGCTCAGGTGAGGCCATCTTCTGTCTCAATGATTGCCATTTTAGTCTAGTCTATATTTGGGTAATAAGCAAATTATAAATTTTCAAAAGGCGTTAACTTTTTATGCTTCATGCCTGCATTTTGACAATTTGCAGGATATTGCATTGGCGGAACTGGCCCCAACTCATCCAATAAGACTGGGGTTGGCACTGAATTTCTCAGTTTTCTATTATGAAATCCTTAACTCTCCAGATCGTGCCTGCAATCTTGCAAAACAGGTGATTTTTTTACCTTTCCATTTTGAATGAAGTTGCAGAACTTCTTTCTCTAATAGCGAGCAATAAAGTTTTTTGTTTGAAGTATGCTTGCAATATTTATCAGAATCATTTGTTGGCGTGATGCTTTGTTAGAATGCTGAAATAGTTTTATCACCTTTACAAAAGACTGAGACTAGCCATGTGATCAGGAGTTGAAACAAAAATCAATTCATATTTCTTTTTCCAGCATTCTCTAAAATAAATTGAATTTGCTTAATAATGTATTACTTGCCTGAGTGTTCGCTATTTTTTCATATTATGGAGGATATTATATTCTATGAAGTACAGTTTTATTAATTTTGCTTTAAATAGCCTTGGAAATATCATGTGGTCTTAGATTTGTTTTTATTTGGTTTGATGCATTGAGTGTTATTTAGAAACTTTTATTGTTAACATAATTTTTTTATATTACATTATATTGACTTTGTGTTGACTTGAATCCATTAGCATTGTTAAACAAGGTGTTTTTGGGCATAGTGCATTTATTTCTTGATGGAATCATGGTCTTAGCATCAATTTAGTTTGATAATTTTATTTGCATCTTAGTTGGGCGACAGAAATAGTTGCAAACCCCTATTTGTTGGCATTTTCATCGGATTAACAGACTTATAGAAATTTGTACCCTTTGGGGCTGATGGAATTCATGGATGTTAGTTATTTCTGAGGAATGGGAGGGTAGCAAGTCATATAATTTGGAAATTTCAGGAATTTTTTGTTGGATTTATTAATTGCTTTAGTTGTGTTAACTGGTATGTATATCAAATAGGTGTTATTTGGTTACTGGTGTTGGAAAAATTTTTCTGGATGGAGGATTTTTTATATTTATTAAAAGCTTTTATGATTTTCTCATTAGAGAATAAGTTTTCAAAAGGTACAACCATCTTCTAGAGTTAATAGGTGTGCTTTTTTCTTGTTTTCTTTTTGATTTAATTTCTGTTTGGAGGAGATGGACTTAAAAAAAATATGCTTGCCTAATTAAGCTTTTGGTCAGCCTTTTACAGGCTTTTATATCGTGTTTTCCTGCCTCTGCTAGTATGTTTCCCATCTCGAGCAGAAAACCAGTTTTTACTGGGTTTTACAAGTTTAATACCTTAGCAATGTTTATATTTGAAGAAATTTGTCTCTGTCGTTCTCATTAGAAGTTTCTTTCTTTTTTTGTTTACCTTCTGTATGAACGGTTGTTAAGTGCAAAGAATTAGTTATTGTTGTGTTTTTTCTAATAGGCCACATGCTTTACTAGTTGCATTAACTGATACAACAACAACAAACCTTTATCCCACTAAGTGGGATAGGCTACATGGATTCTTTTTCTCCATTGCGTCCAATTGAGTGTCATATTTTCATTTAATTTTAATGAATTAAGATCATTTTTTTATATAATATGCCTAAGTTTTTCTAGGTCTACCTCAGCCTTTCTTAACATAAGTCGAATCTAAAACATCTACTCTCCTAATGGGATCATCAGATCGTCGACGTTTAATGTGATCAAATCATCTAAGACGACTCTTTCTAATTTTGTCTGCCATTGGAGCTACACCAACCCTATCACGAATATATTCATTTCGCGTTTTGTCTCTAAGTATAAAGCCACTCATCCACCTAAGCATTCTCATCTCAGCAACACTTACCTTAGTTTTATGCTTTTCTTTTAAAAGCCAACATTCAGTGCCATAGAACATTGCTAGTCTCACCACCATCTTATAAAATTTTTCTTTTCAGTCTAAGCGGTACTTTTCTATCACACAGTAGGTTCGAAGCATTCCTCCTAAAATTACATTTCATATATTAAGTTTTAGTTCTACTCAAATGAAGGCCTTTAGACTCAAATTTAGACATCCATAATTAAAGTTTTTCCTGAGTTTTCTCTATAGCCTTATCCATGAGAAGGATATCATCAGCAAAAGCATACACCAAGGTACATCCTTCTGTAAATGTCCAATAAGAGCATCCATAACTAAGCAAAAATATATGGGCTTAAAGCTGATCCCTGATGTAATCCAATTGAAATAGGAAAATTTTTGGTCAATTCTCCTTCTGTTCGAGCACAAGATATGGGCTTAAAGCTGATCCCTGATGTAATCCAATTTAAATAGGAAATTTTTGGTCAATTATCCTTCTGTTTGAACACAAGTAACACTTCTAGCATACATATCTTTAATGACTTGAAGATAAGTCATATCAACACCTTTCTTCTCTAGAACTCTCCAAAGGATATCTCATGGAACCTTATCGTAAGCTTTTTTCTAGATCAATAAAAATCATATGTAGATCCTTCTTATTCTCTATGAACTTCTCCATCAAACACTTCTCCATCAAACCTCTCATCTCCATCAAACCTCTCAATAAATGTATAGCTTCCATAGTTAGACCTGCCCGACATAAATCTAAATTGAGTATGAGAATCTTTGTAATGCGTATTGACCTATGTTCAATTACCCTCTCCCATAATTTTGAAGTATGACACATCAACTTAATTACTCTATAATTAACACTCTTGTGCATCCCCTTTATATTTTATCTTATCCTGCACATTATTATTCCATCATCAACTATTTTTATTTATAATAAAATTTTCTTTTAATTCTCCAAGTGCATCCTTTATCGCTTGTTTAATAATGTATGTTACTTTATCCCACATAGAATTTGTTTATTTATGAACACCCAAAATTTTGAACTCTTGAAGTTTACTCATAAAACTAATTTTATCTGTCTTTTAGGTGTCTCTATCTAATTCTACGACAATGATTCCTGTTATTTTTTATTTTACAACTTTTCATCTTAAATCATCACTTGGAATGACCTTACAATCTTTAAATTCTTGATGATTTCTTCTTATAAGAAAATAATCAATTTGTGTTTTATTAGATCCATTCTTATAAGTAATAATATGTCTATCTCTTTTCTTGAATAAAATATTAGCAATAACAAAATCATACACTAAGATAAAATCTAATATGACTCTACTTTCTTCATTAATCACTCCGAAACCTTATCCACCATTAATATTTCTAAAATGTTCTGCCACTCTACCGACATGTCCATTTAAATCTTCTCCAATAAAAATTCTTTCTTCAAGTGATATCATTTGTATTAAGTTTTCTAAGTCAGTTTTCTAAGTCATTCCATAAGTCATTCCAAAATTTATCTTTAGAACTTATATCTAAATCTACTTGAGGAGAATAAACACTTATAATATTAAAAATCTTAGCATGAACAATAATGTTAATGGCTATAATTCTATCTCCAATTCTATTACTTTTTATAATATTATTTATCAAACTCTTATTTATAATTACACTTACACCATTTCTAGCACGACTCTTAACTAAATACCAAATTTTAAAATCTAAGTTATCAATCTCCTTAGCTTTTTATCCAATTAATTTAGTTTCTTGAATACATAAGATATTTATTTTTCTATGAATCATAATATCAACTAATTCTATTAATTTACCTGTGATAGTAACTATATTTCAAGATCATATCCTAATATTAGTTTCATGGACTAACTTTTTTACTCGTATTTGTCCATAATGTGGGAATTTTTACTTATTTGACACTACACTCCAGTACCGGTGTAGTGGCTCTTGCACATTTTTCACGGTATCCAGACCATACAACGCGTCACTTCCAAGGACACTCTAGCGTTTACACAATGAACAAAAGAATTTATGTCATGATTTTTCAACAAATTTTATGCTATCTATCGACTATCTAACGCAACCTTCCACTTTTCACATCCGGTGCTTGAGACCTGACAATGACATTTGCATTAATTGATGTAATCATCAAATTAGGTAAATTAAATTCAAGAGTCTTGGTAGTTTAAATAATTTGTCACGTCTTCATTAGTTCTGAAATATTAAAATTTGTTCACTCATTCCTTCACTTTGTGCAGGTCAATCTTTCGTCATTTTGGGTTAGGCCATGCGTCAATGAAGAATAGTTTGTGCTATATAATGTGTTTGTTGGAAAACTAATGTGAATTGAATGCTGAGACATTTAGTTTCAGGTTGGATTTGATGGTTTTCAGAAATTCGTGAAATATTCTCATCTCTTTTCTCTGTTGGAATTGCTATCGTTCACAGTTGAGTTAATTTAACTTATTTAAAGTTCATAAAAGGATTATTAGGTTGAAGTGGAAAGTGGGGTATTTAATTATCCTCTTATTAATCTATATGACTCGTTTTTTGGTGAACATATAATTCGCCAAGTGTAATAACAGAAATAAAATAAATAAATATTTAAATATTAAATAATTATGATAATAAGACATGTGGGCTCACCGTCGTTACGGTTATGCTCAAGGGTCGAAAGAAGGCTTCAATCGGGAGTCTCAAAAATGCTCGAGAGGGAGAACAAAAAAAGCAAGAGAAGAATAATAACGACAGTAAAGAGGGGAAGAAAGAAAGAAGAGGAAAGAGGGGATAGTGTCCCTTATCCATTTTGACTTAGAGTCTAGTGAAAGGAGGAAGAAGTTTGAATGCGTGGAAAGACAATTTGGTCTTGCTGGGGAGAATCTCTTCTTTGAGCTCTTACACACAACTGAAGAGGAAGAAGGATGGGGGGTGTGATCGACTTCGTGCGCTGGTTAACTTGCGAAACCGTGGAGGAGGAAGAGGGAAGAGGCTATCTGCGTCTCTATCGAGAAGAGGAGAGCTCGACTGATCAAGACGTGTCGTGGAGGAAGGAGTCAAAGCCTCGCGTGCTCTGTTGGGGTTACACGGGACGAAGGAAGAATGGGGAGGAAGCCTCGCGTGCTCTGTTGGGGTTAGGGCAAGATCAAGCCCAAGTAAGGTAAAGTTCTATACTTTAATAAGTAATTAACATATTGCTATATAAACATGACCCATGTATGTGTGCTAAAATGTGTGTTTAATAATAATATTAATGAAAAGTTTTATTGAAATCAGGAATCTAATAACCGGTGATTTCATATTCGAAAGATAGGTTGGAGAAGC